TCTTTTGGCGTTGGGCAGCTAAATTCCAGCACCATTTTTCGTAAATGCATCCATGTTTACGCTTAACGATACATCTCCACCCTGACGACAAACGTCCACGAGTAATGAGTGATTAATTAAACATGCCCTTGTTGTCATGGATGCCTTTTATGTCTAGTAGCTAAAGGCGAGAGCATAACCAAAGAAAGCGGTTAGAGCACGACTGATTGTGCGCCAAATTGGGTTAAGGTCACCTGCTGGTGGCAAGTTAGGGTCATTGAACGCCACTATCCCATTAGAGGGAAACGCAACGCGCGTTGTGTCTTCCCTGATGGCGAGCCACGATTTTTCGCGTGGCGAGCTTCGCCACGCGAAAAATCACGACGTAAGCGGGGAACGCGAAGTTACATCCCCACTATAGTGCTTCTGGTTCCCTACAATCCACGCGAAGCAAGTACCTTGCTCTATGCGTTGCAGAACTATTGTTCGTATGAATGGATGCTATGAGCCACGCCGACGCTTTGGGAAAGGTCGCCACCTGGCACTGTGTTAAGGTGTTCACAAATTGGCACTTCTAGTGGAAAGGCATCGAATAGGACGGACGCGTAGAAAGGACACGTTGAAGAAACTAATAGTGAATACCACGCTCATGATGCATTATTACGCTTCACCAAGAGAACTAGGAGAAGGCGGTGGTAGATATTTAAAAAAAAAAAGGCTCGTTTTTAAAGCCTACAAAGTATTGGCCATGGCGCAGTGGATAGTGTGCCCGGCAGCTCTTGCCGCAAACCGAGAGGTCATGGGTTCCACTCATGTAGGCAAAACTTCTTTTTTGTTTGCCTTCTGATGGTTATTTTTAGGCGTCATTCCCATGACGGAAGTAGGTCACTCAAATCTTAGTGCACTTCAGCATAAAACCTTTTCAGTGTTAAAAGGCACGAATACAAGCGCCGGTCTTTTCCGTCAGTGCTTCGTGCACATGTCTTAACGTGCGCCGTTTCGTAATTATGAATCTCTACCAACTCGCTCAACTATCAGTAGTAGTAGTAGTAGTAGTAGTAGTAGTAGTAGTAGTAGTAGTAATAGTAGTAGTAGTAGTAGTAGTAGTAGTAGTAGTAGTAGTAGTAGTAGTAGTAGTAGCAGTAGTAGTAGTAGTAGTAGGAGACTCTTGAAACTTCACAAACCCATTCAGAAGGACTGGCCACTAACCACGTACTTGTAGAAATCTCCTTATGTATCATTTATCACTTAACAAAGGAAGTGAAGACAAACAAGACGCTGACCCCAATAAAAGCACAAAACCAGACGTTCATTTGCTTTTAGACGTTTGCTTTTACCTAGGTCAGCATATTGCTTTAATTGTCATGTCTGTTTAGTCGTCTTCATGGCAAGACGGGTTCCCGTTCAACTCTCAATTTTATTAACAAAGAAAGTCCTCAACACTGCAGCTGCTACTCCGCGCTTGTCCCGATTTCTCCTTCTACTTTGCAAAGCAGAAGAGAACACATAGTGTTTCGTCCTCAGTACAGCTTGTTGGCATAGAACCGTGGCTTCAGAACAACGTCCAGCCGAGGATCTGAGAAACGGCACAAGGTACGAGGGCCATTCCAGAAAAACCTTTTTGAACTCGAACAGCCATACCAACTGCTCCACTTGTTGGCGCCGTTTTGCCTGTCGGACCTATAGGTGGCTTAGCGTGGCGCAAGTGCATGAGCTATGCCCACATGGTCATGATGGTGCAACCAGGCAGCCGACGTTGCCACAAGGTTTCTATGGTGAAAGCTTCATATGTCGAAAATTTACCACCGGCTTCAGAGGTGTCAACGTGAATGATGCAGAATAATTATAGAACTCGATGAGTTCACCCTATGGCGTCACAGGTCGACAAAATTCACAGGCGTCAGTAACGCCACGGGTGTATAGTGACATCACGAACCAGCAAGATCAGTTTTTATTATTTGGGTACCTTCCAGACAAATCCACTCTTTATACTCGCGCCCTCTTGAAGCACTTCAGGCTACATGCTGTTCGCAGCACTTTCTCTTGCTGTATAATGTTGTTTTAAGTGTTGTGCACACTTTACCCTGGAATGCAGATAAAGTGGCTAAAGCCTCTCGTAGACACCGCTAGCCACCATAACATAGCTTTGTGGGCGCGATTTGTGTGATCGTCGTGCTTCTTAGCGTGAGTCGCGTTGTTGGGCGTGCAATGTATCACAAAAATTTGTAGCTGGTCGGTCCGGATGAAATCCGGGACATGTAGCTGTCCAGACAAGAACTGTGCAGAACTCGGAGTTTTGCATGAAAAGTAGGCAGTCCTGCAAAATCTGGGACCGTTGGTAATCTTAGCTGGCACGCAGTCGTTTTTTTTTTTTTTTTGCGTCACGGCTCGGATATCCTTAGAGAGCCGAATCCAGGTTAGCGATTGACCATTCGGTACGTACTCGGCCCGATTACGCTATCGCTTTCTACTTTTGCAAGCGAACCTCCAACGCCCTCAAAGTTTTTCTCTTCACATATGTCAAACGCAAAACGAAGTACTCGTCAGCATGCGCCAAGGCAAGCTCTAGGGAGCAAGGTATATTTCAAAAAGGGAGAAGCTTTGGGCATGTTGGTCATTCATCGTTCTCATTACACAGAGAGCACAAAACACGGGACAGAAAGAGATCTATGATCTGTTTCTGTCCCGTGTTTCGCGCGCTCTGTTTTGTGAAGAACAAGCAAGGCGTGTTGTTCGGCTAGTCGATTCATGGCATCGTAAAGGTGTAAAGTGTGCGACGAAAACGGGACGAAGGAAGGTGCGTGTGCACGCGTTCCTCCCTTCGTCCCGCTTCGGCGCGCTAACTAGGGAACCAGATAAAAAAAAATCGCGTGTTGACATTGTCATGTGAAGCCACAAATTCCCTTATTTTTTGGCGTCACGTGACGTCGTCATCAAAGAACACCGACGTTTTGCAGCATCTACGGAGACAGAGCCAAGCCACGCTTAAACAATGCTTTCGGAGGAGGGCGTGGGAAGGCTTAGTGTCACGTTTTCGGGGGGGGGGGGAGGCTGCGGGCGATAGACAGAGACATGGCTCGGTTAACAACACAACAAATTTATTAAACCGGCGCACGACACACCCTCAGTATAGAAACATGCAAATCCAATATCAATAACTTCAAATTCAAACTAAGCCCCACTAAGCTTACACGCCAACCGCACTACAAGCTAAACCGTTGAAGTCAACGTCAGGCATCTGCAGCCTCATAGCTCCACTCATGATTTGGGCCGATCTTGCTTGTCACCACTGATGATCTTGCCGCCAATGTCCCGATTGGTCGTGCCCGGTACCTGTCGGAGTTCTTGACGTTCTCTACGAGCGTCGCCGTCCCTGCCGTTGCCGACATGGTCGCCCGTCGTCGTCTGACGTCGTTGACATGGCGCATGCCTCTGTAGTTGGGCCTAGCGCCGTTCATGGATATTCGGTACTACGATCTGACGTGGCCCACCGGGAACTGTCTTCGTCGATTTGCTTCAGATGGGGCTTGCGTCAGGAACGTCGGTGCTTGCTGTGCGCGGTTGCTGCATCCCGAGCGGCCTTCCTCTAAGCAGGTCAAGGTATCCGTCTACATCTCTGTAAGCCAGCGTCCCAAGTTGCCGAGTCGATGTCCTACCGCTCCCGTCGCCAATGCGCTTGCTGGCGGTGCGACCTCCTTCTTCCAAATTCACATGGACAAGCCAGCTCGTCCTAGCTTGTGCCCCAATCGCAGCTCGGGCCACGCGCATTATTCGCGTTATGGTGCGCGCGCGGGTGCCGTTTCGAATCATGCCCGCTCCTTATCACCTTTCTTTTTTGTTCCTATATGGGCTCTTGCTCGTGACTCCAACTCAGAAAAAAAAAGATTACTATAGGCAGCGCCTCCTCTAAACACAGTGACTCGCCTCAGACCTCTCCCGCGTCTATCCTCAAGTTTTCCGGAGCTCGCCGCCAGGGCCAGACGCGGCGTTGTCGTTGCTCCGCAAACTCGAGCTTCGGTTCCCCATTGCCTTCGAGTCGTTTAAGGGTGTCAAGGAGATTTTTTTTTTCCTCTTACTGGTTATACATGTGGTTTCCTTGCGATACATTTTCTTTGCGAAACACACCTTCTACACAAAGCAGGTGGGTTGTACTGTACAAATAGTGTAACATGGCGTTGAGCGTTCCAGGACTCAAATATGTTAGGCTAGCAGTCAGGCCGAGTACAGCGCCAAATTTATGAACAGGTTTCAGCTATGCGCACTTGAAGTATATATATATATATATATATATATATATATATATATATATATATATATATATATATATATATATATATATATATATATAAGAAGCACACCTACATGGCACATTGCTTACATTAATCTAAGAAGCATACACATTCTTTTCTTAAGCTGTCGTAGGTTCGATTCCTGCTCACAGTTGGTAATTTTTTCATCCACTTTTCTTTCTTCTTTCTTCTTATTTACATTCCATTGGTTCTAATAACTTCCCCTGTACATTCCTTGGCATTACTGTCTGTTATATCTCATCAATATTGTGTTAAAACACGGAAACACGGAAAAACGAGCCCTTAGGTATACACTTCTTTCCCTTATATATATATATATATATATATATATATATATATATATATTTGCCTGTGCAGATGCTACTTCTTCCTAATCAAGGAGCACACCTACATGGCACATTGCTTACATTAATCTAAGAAGCATACACATTCTTTTCTTAAGCTGTCCAGTCAAAATCAAAAATTTGCTCATTTGTACCTGAACTTTGTTTAAAATCAATTCATTTAGAAATATATCTTACACTTTTTTTTTATGTATCATAGACTACCTTAACAGGCAAGGCTGTGCATTTAAAGACTATTGAATGTTACTTCGTGTGCAGAATACTGCGATAAACACAATTTAAATTGCAAAGCCAGCACTTTCCTGGCTTTAGACTGCCAGTGTTTGAATTATCTATCATTCCTCGTTCGTACGACATATGTTGCACATTTCAGTGTAGCCAAAATTTTTCGTTTTATTTTACATTGTCAAGTCTTGCATAAAGGTCACCAAGTTCCTTGCAGAACCTGTGTAGAGGGAAGCCCATAACATTGTAGAAGTCACCAACTATCTTCTCTATCAGACTTCCTCCTTTCCCTTGAATAGCATAGGCTCCAGCTTTGTCACTGCGTAAAGTCAAATATCAAGTTTCTTTTGTATTATAAATGCAGCACCTATTTTTAAAACACTGCTGTTACTCAGGCTATAAAAACATTGCCAAACTTACTGTATTGATAACATGTGTGGCACTTATTTTCCATTCATTATTTCAGTACAACAAAAAACAATAATGTGTACTAGTATCCTCATAGAGGCACAACATTGATACTAAGACAGCGTTACCAGTTCCACTAATAATAAATGAATTTGAGTTTATTTTCTCATAAAGTCGCTTCTAAAATTTCTCCGCCATTTGTGTTTTTCCGGGCTTATTTGCGATTTTCAAGCAAATATAGTTAATTTAGTGATCATCATGTTCACCAATGCACGTTTGTTGTTCGCTAATAGCATGTTCGTCAATGAATTCGAGTAGTTCAGTGCATAGGCGTGTGCAAGGTGAACATTCGCCCCCTATAAAGGGGGCGGAGGTTCACTGTAGTATCCCCCAACCGTCCCATCGAGCCAATGTATGAGGCAGAATCATCACCCCGCTTTTAAGTGACGAGAATGAAGAGGGCGGCCGCACCCCCTGCCCTCCCTTCCAATGTGCACACCGATGGTTGAATGTTGAAGTCTAACATACGTTGCGGGAATCAAAAAGTGGCATTAATCATGCACTGGCAAACTAATCTTCAACCATGTTGGGACTACCCTGGAGACAATGGTAAAAATCAGCCATGTGCTGTTTGTTCATAGCTCATATTTTTGCTGTACAAAACAAGTAAATGATTGTTTAAACTCCATTTCATATTTGAGTGATGTGTGTTCTCATAGTTGGGAATATATTCAATAATAAAAAAATTCATTCGGTTTCCACTTCTTTTGGTTCTTTTGGGCTTCTTTAGTGGTGAGTGTCTACTTGATTGCTCCGTATCATCTGGAAACACTGTACAAAGGCCAAATGAACGCATGGGGCCATCACGGTGTAAAGCACACTCCTTAGGTGTAGACAACATGCAGCAATATACTGCGCTGATCTACTCAAGCATATAGCGTGCCAATATGTGCACTTAACACATCCCTTGACATACTGCAGAGCAATGTGACACCTAAAATTCATTGTTGGTCTAACGTGTTATACCAAGGAAGACACATTCACAAGGAGGGGTATGGGGACAAGCGTTTGCTGCATACTATTTTTGTGTATGTGTCCTTTTTTTTGCACAATTATTATCAAGATTGTGACATGTGTATTGCTTTCTTTGGATTAAGTGTTTATAAGATTCCTAACTGAATAAACACCCTTAAAGCAAGCCCACAATTTGGGGAGTTACACGATACAATATAGGGGGGTTCTAATTTTTAACAAGGCGCAACGAGGTGTAGTTTCAACTAGGCGTAGTAGAGTGGTGATTTGACATGTCCCAACACATCTGACTTCAGGACTGTGAGATTTTGAGTGAGCTAAACTAAATCTGTTCTTGATGAGTTGTGAGTGAGTTCAGCGGGATCAGAGTTTGGCAAGTCTGTCATACATCACTGTGTCTGATGGCTGTAATAAGCTATAAGCTAGATATATCCTTCGTAGGCATAGATGATTTGATTGATACGCGGGGTTTAATGTCCCGAAACCACTATATGATTATGAGAGACGCCGTAGTGGAAGGCTCCGGAAATTTCGACCACCTGGGGTTCTTTAACATGCACCCAAATCTGAGCACACGGGCCTACAACATTTCCGCCTTCACCGTAAATGCAGCCGTCACAGCCGGGACTCGATCCCGCGACCTGCGGGTCAGCAGCCGAGCACCTTAGCTACTAGACCACCAGGCGGGGCTTCGTAGGCATAGGCGAGTTGTGCACAATCTGTCCCTTAATGAATCTAAGTGGCCTATCAAGCACAACTTTTCGACATAGTCACACGATTGTAAAATGAATTCTTAACCGGAGAGTACGTGATGTATATTACAGTGTATGTTCAATAATACGAACTTAAAGAAACAAGAACAAATATACCTAAAGTACTCACAGTGGTTCACCCGTAAGTACATATGCTTTGATAATTTCCTGTGACATAGGAGCCATGAACACTTCAGTTGTATCATGAAAGGTTTTACATCTGAAATCTTGAAGAGAAAAAAGGCCAATATACAGACGAGAAAAAGGCATCAAAAATTTAGTTCTGGCAAAACATGTAAATTCTCGACCGTAAGCTACCTTTCGACAAACTACTTCATCGTTCCTAAGCAGTCCACAAATCAGCAAATAAAAATCCACCTTGGCATTTCTGATTTCCTTGCTGTGCACCATAAATTGTGTAATGGAATCATACACAGCATATGAATCTACTGATTATTTTACATATTTCTCATAAGTTCATAAAGTTCACAGAATAAGGTATTTTGATGCATAGCCCCAGATCCACATACCGGATTTAACATTAGAATAGTTACATGCCAACATACTTCTCTTTCTATTGCAGTGCAAAAAAAAAAGTAATGTTAATAATAAAACATCACACATATAGTGGAAAGACTACAGGTTCACTCCACACAGAAAAGTTGTTTTTTCATCCACTTTCATTTATCTCATTATTATTAAAGTCAGATAAAAAGATACAAACAACACCCCTTCACTTTCTTTGGCTTCATTATCTGTTGACTCCATAAAGCTGCGCCGAAGAAAAAAACTATCAATTTGCTGATTCGATTGTTTAGTACATACAATCACTTTTTGAGAAATTGATGAGTCCCATTCTTCGGGTAATACTAACTACACTTTCATGGCAATCAAAGTTGTAGGTCTTAATTAAAGCACCTTTGAATCATGGTGATGACACGACACAAAAAAAAAAGTAGCACACGTCCCAAACTCACAAGCGCCGTCTCATATCGATCTGGAGATCCACCAGAAGAGTCACATCAGATGTTTCAATTTCTTGTGCACACTGCCCAGAGCTTGAATTCTATAATGCATTTTTGTGCATACACTAACAATTTTGCCTATTCATGAAAGTTACTCTGGGCTTGAAGTTAGAGGTGGACGGCCCTCTCCATTTATTAATGACAGGCTCTAGCCCTTAGCAGGTCAAATGCTGCACATCAGAATCCATTCAACAAGTGCTGGAGTTGATTTTTTTTTTTTGCAAGGGTGCCTTTTTCAAGTTTCCACTCTCCCACATTATTGAGAATGATTTAACCGTGACTGTCGGGTTGATGTGGCATGACCAAAACAGGTATTGTCATACTCTTGTGAGCCTTTCTTTGAGACATTGCACGTGACTGGTCACAGCCCTGTTCGACTAAGCTTCTTGGCACAGCATACTGTTTCACGAGGCATCTGAGCGTCAAGCTATGTGCTTTTTTAAATTAGTTCAAAGGTTCACCTTGGTCTCCTTACATTAACAGTCGATTTTCATTCTTTGAATTGTGATGTAATACAAAAAATGCATGCAATTTGCCTACTTTTCTTAGATAAGTATGCATGAAAATTAAACGTAGCATTGTTGTACCTGAGGTTCTCAATGCAGCGAGTAAACTAATAGTATGTTGCCGTTTGGTCATTTCCTTCGTGCTCGTGTATTTCTAACCCTCAACATACTGAGTTACTTTTGTAAAGGCCTTTCCAAAATTTGGGTTTTAAAGTGATTGACTAGAACGGCACGTTATATATATATTCTTCAAGAACACTTAGAGTAAAAGCTTGCAACTAGAAGAGCACTACAAAACTGTTCGAATTAAGCAAAGTTCGAATTAGCAAGCGTGCAATAGAATGAATGGACATCACACCACACTGAGCAGACAAAACCTAAAAAAGCCATCCCTGGACTTGTTATCACAAATTAAGCACTAATACATGCTTGTGGCAGGCAATTTCATAAGCCAAGTTCATAGAGCACTAACAGGGAACAGAATTAATTGATAAATTAGTTATATTCCAGCAGCAAGCACGGACATACACTTCTACTTGCGTGCACTTCTACTTGCATGCCAGAGTTACCGCAAAAAAAATTCAATGAAATAAATTACAGGAATTTGCTTGCACTTCTTCTGTCGTGACCCTATGAGCATCGTTTACAGCTTGCCAAGAGCACCAGTGCAGCGCCCGAATTGCCACCTGCTGAGAAATGCTGCTGTTTGGCGTGTTGCATCTTTAGTAAATTTGGTTTGGTTTTGCAACACAATCTGATCACTACAGGCCGACTTCTACAAGGAACGATGAAAACAAAGGGCTCCCAGTTTGAATTATTTATGGTCATTTACTATGTCGTTACTTTTGTAACATTCATAAGTATCTGTTTAACTTGATTCGAGAGACAGTTTGCCTCACTATATATATATATTGAGGGCCCTTCTTCTAAAGAAAGAAAACTTTAAGACCTGAAGTCACTTACCATCTTTGCATCGATAAATAAGGGCGACACCGGTTTGGACAATGTGTCCCTGTCCACTGAGTCTAGAAAAAGCAAATAATGCAAACACTGAGTTACACAGTCGCCGCTATAGGAAATAAAGAGGCAAAATTTAACGAAAACTTCAAAAATGTGTCAATTATAAGTGCCACTATTCAAAGGGCTAAGAACATGTACGCTGTGCACTCTTAAAACTACAATACATCAACCTTTTTTTGGCATCAATGTATGTGCTCTCCGGTAAGAACATACTATAAATAAAGTCAACGTACTCATTCAGCATGCGTTCGGCATCACTGCTGTCCTTTGGCTTCTCATAAAGCATGTTGCCTTTCACGACAACGGTGTCAGCGCCAATCACCAAATCAACTGGCTCCTTCAAATGAAAAAAAAGGCTCGTTTAGCAAGGGAAAAAATGTATATTTTTATTTCAGCCCTTTTTTATTATTCGGTAAATAACTGCCAACATGCATAAATGCAGTAGCAATCTATGCAACTTTTTCTTTGAATATGAGGATGGTGTAAAGCCACAGCCAGTTGGCATGCTTTTTACATGTGTAAAAACATAATAATTTCATATTTTATTTTACTTCAACCAAATCTACACATCTCCTCAGTGCACGTTTCGTCGTAGCATGTGTAGTAGATAACAAGATAGACAGTTTCGGCACATAGTACATGGTAGCTAACATACACCTATCTGTTCTCATAGGTATAACGGTCCATGCAGGTCACTGCATTCACAATCTCAACATGTAAACTGAGCAGCAGAATGACTCTGAACCTGATATAAATTGTTAACCATGCAAAAAAAAAATGCTTACTTTGAAGCAAATGTGGTTATTTCAATTGTCTTACAATGTCAAATTAATCTCCACGGTGTAAAAAAAGGGCAAAACATTGTGAGTGGTGCAGGACACTTTTCCCCTTTTCCTGGATCTTCAACCTTCTGGTACACTTTGAGATATGTTTATGCTCCTTTACAGGAATCCACCATTGATACAAAGCAACAGCCCAGCTCAATTTGATTCCTTATATTGTGACTATTCTCCCTGTACGTTTTTATTTCATTTCATTCGTTCATATCTTCACACTTTTTGCACTAGACTTGTCATTTTTCCAAAACATTTGAAATTTTAATCTGTATAATCGCTCTACATCATGCACTGAAGCCTCACGCAATCTCCTGCAGTGGGCATCAGCCGTCTACATGAGGAAAACAAACTATTACCATAACCACTCCTACGAATTTTAGAATTCCCTGTTAGGTTGAAGCACAATGTTGCCATATGGACTAATTACACTATCCGATATTATGAAGAATCAGCGTCCACAGTCTTGTGCGCACTCCTGCTTGGGGCCGCACAACTCGTGCCTCTCGTTCACGAAGACGAGTCAGTGTGGGTCGGATCGGCGAAGAAGGTGCGTTGGCCGATGAACAGCTTTTGTTTTGGAACGCTCTAGCGGACTCTCATTTTTTGCACATGATTTTCAGGGCACAAGTTAGCCCATAATAAACTAGTCTTTGGTGTTTCTTCTCTCGGACCCGTTACAATATGTCCTATCTCATCGATCATTTAAAGAAAAACAAAAAAAAAAACTTACATTTTTCTCTTGTAGTACTCTGACGACATCTCTTGCTTTGCCTTCAGCCGTTCGCACGCAGTAGTCTGCCGGAATGGCAAATGCATTTTTGTCGAGATTCTCCTCGAAGTTGGACGCCACGACATCGTAACGGAAGCCCTGCAACGGCATATATTTCGTCAGTGCTACAGCAAGCTTACAAGTTGAAGGACCACGAAATGAATGACCGAAACCGAAACATTAACATACGTCGAAGGAGTTATGTGCATTCCACAACTATAACAGCTTCGGAGGCTCAGATGCACGAGTTCATTCACAAGCTGTGATCACTCGAGTAGCTATAACGTAACATCGAATACAGACACATCGGCTACTCGACAGCATCGTCTCATGTGCGGAACTGACCAGCATGTTGAGTATCTCTTTTCGTCGTGGTGATGCACTGGCGAGAACGATTCTCTTCTTGTCGAGCGCACACAGTAGCGGCTCAAGCATCGCGTATTACTTTCGCGTGCTAACGCTAACAAATTAAACGCAAAGGCTCGAAACTGCAAGAAGCTCGTCGTTCAGTAGCACGCAGACAAAACACTTTAAAATGCAAACATGCGCTACTGGATTGGATTCTGATTGAATTGGCTTGAATGCGTCTAGGCAAACTTAATAAAAAAAAAGACCTATCGAAGAGTGTTTAACCCTAATGTTTGACCATGTCAATCAATTTATTTGATGTAATATTTTTTATGTATTATTGGCAATAATTTTCAAAATTTTGTACGTGGTATTACCGTTTTAGTGTTTTTATGACCAAGTTAACTTTCAGGACAAAACGCATGGCCTTTGAGATTTGTTGCGAGAGCTGTGTCTCCGGTTGTAACACATGTTTGGCCCAGTTATTTTGGCCTTCAAAGACCATCTTTGAAGCAAACTTCCTCACTTCAATACCAACGGTTGTTATTTTTACGTCAAACTGCGTTGTCACAGCAAATGTTGATGCAGCACTAGAATATTCTAGGCACTATGGTGGCACGTCGCCGTCTCGGAGGCCATATAAAACGGGTTGAGCGCTGGAAACGCAGTCGTCGTAATTAGCCCCTTCAGGTGCTTTAGTCGTAACGGGGTAGTCCAACTTTCTTTTTTTAAAGGGTCGAAGCTCTTAAAGCCGTGAGTCTGTCCATGCACGTCTCTTACCGGTTTGTAACCACCTAGTTGTATGACTCACTGAGCAGGTCACGCTAGTGTGAGTGACATACACACACACGGAGGATCATATTACCGTATTAACCGTATTAGTACTTCTGGCCTGCTTTTGGCTCCGTGTGTGTTTGTGTGGCTTGGAGATGTTTTCTTACGAAACAAGTATTAGCAAATGTTCAGCGGTTGCGCTTCACCATTTTATTTTTTTTTAGACTTGCTTTCCAAATTGGCTCACGAAGTTCAAAAGGGTTCAATCTTTCTTTCAAAACAAAACCGAAACACAGCAATAAACGAAGCCGCAAGTACGACTCGCCGCCCGCAAGTACGAAGACTAAGCAAATGTGTGTACTACCCATCAAACCATCATTCCCATGGACGCTGAACGATCGCAGCGCCAGAGTGCCCTCTAGTTAATTTTGAGAAACTCTATGGGATGGACAGACAGACAGACAGACGGACGGACGGACGGACGGACGGACGGACTGACGGACGGACGAACAGTCAGACATGCAGACGGACGGATTGACGGAAGCAAGAACGGACAACCAGAAGCATGGGCAGGCGGACTGACGCTTCGCCCCACTCATCATCATTCCCTCCATGGATATGCTGTGATTTTGTTCGTTTCGTTTACTACATGGAACAAGCTGTGCTGCCAACGAAGACATTTTAGCTGTTTATTTTTCTTCTTGCGAGTGCTGCTGAGTAAGATGCAGCGTTGCGTCTCATCTGATTGCACGCTCCTCGTGGTTGCATGCACAGAGTGGCTGCATTGGCAAGCGGTGGTAGGGTGGCGAATGGTGCTGAAATATGTTGCTCCGTGGAGGTCCATCAATCAATTTATCTTGCACTCTAATACACTGTTTATATATTGATGATGGGTGTGCTGTAGGGTTACCAACTCAGTGCAATGAAGGACGCCGGGCCGATTGGGGCGGGGCGGGGGGGGGGGGGGGGGGCGACTGTTGGATCGTGACGGTACTGGTTATCTATACACGTAGACGACGCAACGTCTCGGCAGAAAAAAAGTTTTTTATGTGCTTTTTCTATGGTAACCAACGTGATCGCTGGCAACGCCGACGTTCGCCGCACGTCGAGGTTGTTCGCGTACGGAAATCGCGGCACACGCTTCCAGCTTTAACTCGTAAAGTGCCATAGCCGCCTTTGCTGACTAGGAAATTTATGTTTCCAGTGAAGCGTTGCTAGCTACGGCAACGCAGCTTTAAGTTGTGTCGTCCCGCCCATCGGTATTCGCTACGGTCAGCGGATCGATCATAGCGTTGTTGCTTTATTAGGTGGATCGCGTCTCACGAGCGTACTGACCTAATGAGTATATATCTTATACCGTGTTTTAGGGTTAGGCAGTTCGGTTCTGCGCGCTTGGACTGATTGATGACAAAAACTGCGTGTGGTCAACGGGGCCTCCACATGTGGGGGTGGCCAATGGGCCAATGCATTTATCACTCATATTAGCGCAACGAAGAAAATTTTGAGGCAGGACGGACATTTAGGCGCAGCGTGGCGCAATTTGGGCAATATTTATGGTTTTTGGTAAACTCAGGGGGAAAAAAAGGAGCACCACTGAATTTGTTCTGACCGCTCGCGGAACTCCAAGAGGTCCTTTACGGAACCCAGTTTGATAGCTGATGCTCTAGAGAATAAGAAGCGTTCAATCAAAACATATTTTATTCCTCGATATGAATTCTATAAAGTATATGTACATATAGAGTCACTTTGTAGGGGAAAGCTGTTAACAGGATAGGATAGGAATTCCTTCCCTGGAGATGCAGACGCGTGCGCGTCAAAACAATGTGCGTGTTTCATGTTGAACGATGCTGGTTGTCAACGTTCTTCAATATAATTCATAAAGGAACTGCACAACTGAGTTCACTTTTACAGCCAAGGTGCCCAGATCCCGTTGTGTTGATCAGGATAGCTCCGGGGATCCTCCACTGTAGTCACGGGAGGCACCACAGTCTTATTGTAGGCGGAAAGCTTTCGCAGCAACATTGTCAGGACCTGTAAGGATAAATTCAGGTAGAAACAGCTCACGCTGTCGTCCATTCGGGAGAGTAATTGGATAGACATCTAACGACTACAACAACGTTGTTATATAAGCGGATATCTTGAAATCAACGACATTACCCAACATTATAGCGAACACTTATCATCGTTTAGCTAGCAACTAAACATTGAAGATCACAGTCAGGTAACAGTGGTCAGAGTTACATTGTGCTCCCAATATGCGATTGTATAGGGTATGGTGCTGCTTATATTCGAGAAATTGCCACCACCACCGGCCTCTCGCCGTTCACCGTGGTCGCCGTTCTCACATCATGGGAAGTATAGGCCTTCTTACTGAAAACTCCCTGAGCGTTGTCATACTCCTTCCTCTCTGGGCTCTTGTTCACATCCATGCGTGACCCTCGGAAATACCCCGCCGAGTCTATAGCGTCGGCTTTTGTGCTCCCGTGCAACAGCGCAGAAAGGAGGAGATCCTCCTCGCCGTTATAAAGGTGTATACTAAGGTGAGTAAAATTAACGTTTGAAAGGCACTAAGCTAGGTCATATTTCACAACCTCAATACCAACAAACAACAGAATCCAACTCATGCAAGGTCACTTACGTCCGGTAGCTCCTCAGCCAGGTTTCGCTGCTCACACGGATCATCGGCGATGTCGAAGAGATAGTAGGTGCCTCCCGAAGCAAAGTTAACGTGGCGTGCCGGATCGCACGCGATCGTCGCCTGCCGCCTCCATTTGTCGACGTGCTGGAATACTGGTTTCTTGCCGTAGAACCGTCGCAGCACGGCGGCTGCCTTGGACTGCTTCAGCAGGACGTCCAGGTCCCGGTACGGTCGGCTTCCTCCAGGGATCTCGAAGCGCGCGTCCATCGTTCTGGTGCACCCCACGACCAGCTTGAAGTTTCGGTGACGCAGACCAGCCGTTTGGGTGCTTGCGTCGATGTTGAGCAATATCTCCTTGCGAGGTGACGGCTTGCCGACAACGAGCGATTGCCACATGTCGACACCGTCCATGGGACCCAGACGTCTCACGTCTCCTCCTATATGAATGAATGAGTGAATGGATGAATGACTGAATGGAACCTTAATGTTGGCGAATTCAGGGAACGGCCAGCTCTTGGCCGTTAGTGAGCATTACATGGGAAAGAGTAACGGTTTAAGAGATTGCTGTTTAAAAGCCTGCAGGTATTTGTACACTTCATTGATTTAGAGGGGCCCTACAACACTTTTTGAACATGGTCAGAAAGCGCTGCCGATCGGTAGTAGAGGCTCCCAGCAACACGCGAGCCAAATATTATAGCGCCTGGAATTGACATAGGGTATCGAAGTCAGCTAACAATTGCTTTCTCTTTTCTCGACAAATCACGCAATATGCCCAAAAATTCCACGTAGTAAGACCATCTATCAGCCATTGGCTGATTTGAACATGGCGCGCTCGCTCGTTACAGAGATCGGCACGGGAGGCCGCTACTTGTCCACGCGTACGCACGCGGTCGCATTGAAAAAGCCGCGCATTCAAAGAAAAGAACGAAAAAAGTGTTCAAGGTCACGAGGCGCGCGTGACGTTTTTCTGTCGCCCTTCCATCTCTCCCAACTTAGCTTTCAGCGCTTTAGTCGGGACGAGAGAAGAGAATGCAACTGCAGCATGCAACATACCTTTGTAACTCCACTCACACTGGACTAATTCTTACAATTTTTGCGGCGTTGAATTCGTGAGGCAATAAGCTCTTCTAGTGAATTCATTCCCCATGGTTACTTGAATAAGTGTTTCAGGGCCCCTTTAAAAACCACTTCGTTGTCAAAATGACCGAGATAACATGCCCAATGCGTAGCATGCAATAACTGCACAGCCTTAGATGCCTCATCGAAAGCGGGAATTGGCCGCCGGGATCAGCGTTGTCAACACGAGTGATGCGAAAAATATCATCACCGCGTGATGACGCCACCACGTGACTATATCATGACGCCACAGATCACCAATATTTTATGACGTCATCACACGGTATCATCGCTTGGTAAAAGGTGATCTGATCACGGAGGCAATATGAGACCGAGTTAGGTGCAGATCGATGCATTAAGAAGGAGATGGCTTTCGCCTTCGAGTCATCTGAGGTCGTATTTTTTTTAGTATATATCGTTCTGTAGTGATTGCGTTTTCATTCGATCGCATTTTTTTTAGTTTTCGCCACAGCTTCTCACCTCTTACGTACGCCACTAATGACAGGCGGTCCCCCCTGACACTTTTTCACTTTGGGACCTCCTGAGTCAACACGTTTAGGCAACACGTTTTGTTGAACATGTATTAACAACGAATAAACTTGGACTTCAACCACTACATAAGGCAGGGGTCTGAAACACGCGGTTCGCGGGCCGCACATGATTTTCTTCGCCAGACACTTCATCCCTAAGATTTGTCGACATCTGTATATGGCGCGATCTCTCGGTGGCAGCAATGCATGGCACCCATCTCACTGAGTGGGAACTAGCTGAAATATATATATATATATATATATATATATATATATATATATATATATATATATATATATATATATATATATATATATATATATTCTAGAATAAAATAGTGATTAGAATCCACTCCGAGATCTATACAGCAAAGACTTACTGGAACATTTTGGTAAAGTTTCAGCATCGCACTACAAAGCCAGTGGCTTCCCAAGGCAATCGAACTCCACCCATCGGAAGTACGCGGGGCACCATTGTAATAACTTAAACACTCTGGGAAGCCAGAGTGTTTGTAGTGCGACACTGTAATTTTTGTAGAATGCTTGATTGATTCTCTGCTGTACCATGAAACCTGTAGTTCATTTTGGTGACTAGCTTTTTCGTCAGATAACATTTTTCCCGCCAATTTCCCATTCAGTTACGGCAGACCAGCGCTGTCGCCTACGAGAGATGTCGATACGTGCAAAAGTCCCCGAATCCTGGTCCCGCTTCCTCGTCCAACATTTTTATCATAACAAATGTTTTCATGATATACGCAGGCACAACTGACCTGAAGCACTGTTTTCGTGAGGTCACCTTGTATTGAAACATAACCGTGAAGCAAAAGGTGCACATTCAGATTGTACTCATTTGGGAGATCAGTATCGAGATGCTGAAATCCAGGCACCTAGTCTGCTTCAGAAATGACGCGTACACGAAATATGCGAAAGGTTTTCCTTGAAACGTCGACGCTTGCTGACAATTCGTGCAACACCCCCTCCTCCTTCCCCTCTGATTTTACTTTCCTAACTGTGACGGCGCTTGCTGGACTATATTACCTGACTACGGCCCGCTCTCTGGGGTGAGCTTGACACCCCTGGCGTAAATGACCCTACAAGTTACAAGTTCTATTGAAGTTCGACTGTTATTTTATACGTATTCTTACATGTTCATTTTTTAAGTATCTGTCACGTGCAAGAAACTTCATGAGTTTTGTAAATGCCACGTAATAGATTCTAAGCATTTGACAAGCAGCTGAGGCTTGCTAGGGTGTCCATTGAGCTTACTTTGTTTTGATAAACGAAAATTCAAGTTTCAAATCAAAATTCAAACTGCGGTTAAACAATTTCTGGCATCTTAATCTGTCTTTTCTTTTTTAATCTTGCCATGTCGAGTGGGCGGAGAAACACCTCGCTGAAGTTCGACAGTGGATAACTTTAATCATCTTTAAAAAACTTCCCCCCGATGGCGCAGCCAGGGGGTAGTGTTGTAGATTCAACATCCCCTGTCCCATCTTTGAATTTTTTTGCATTTTGTATATGTATATGTATATTTTGTATATACATTTTCTATACATGATAAAAGCGCTCCCCCTTTCACAAAATAAATTTCTGCATCCGTTCCTGTGACCTACTGAGTATATGTTCATCAGATATCTGTGTCAGCCGCATAGCGAAAAACACGACACGTGCATATAAATAGAAAGAAAATAAATAAATAGGTCAAAGCTATAAAACATATAAAGGCAGCAATTAGCACTCGATCGTTGTCTCTTTTTGTACAACTCTCCTACTGAATGTCAGTGTCGTTATCGGGCAGGCTTGACCAACCTGAACAGTATCGTATCATCCAGTACCAACGCTCGCAGATCAATCAGAGGAGGGGGAGGGGTGTAATGGAGGACACATACCAGCTGCCACGTATAGCGTTGGCAACCAATCAGTGATGTGCATGAGCTGCTGTGAGACCTTCCCGCCGTGACGAAGTCGTGTACTCCAGATGAAGGCACTCGCACGGACGCCGCCTTCCCAGACTGTCTCCTTGGCACCGCGTAAGGGCCAGTTGAAACCGTAGTTTGGCACTAATCCAGTGGGGGAGCCACCGTTGTCCGAGCTGAACACTATGATCGTGTTATCGAGCATCGACTCGGCTTCGAGCGCTTCCAGAACCTCCCCGATGGACTGGTCCATGGCGTCCACCATTCCTGTAAATTAGTCGTTATACACAAGCACTATTCGTCGATGCGGTGCCAAAGTTCAACAAACCGCTGTAGGGGTACATAAATATTCCAGAAACGTTCAGCAACATATATTACAGCCTTTAATTCTTAGTATTTAACACCTTTCGCCCTGAATATTGAAAGCGTAAGCGAATGTGTTTCAGATAACAGGAACCAAGGATTTGTAAAATGTGGTTAACGTCAACTGAATGAGATTAAGGACACGTGGTTTGCGTCACATCACGCTAGTTTTTGCTATTTCAAGGGGCCCTGCAACACTTTTTGATCACGGTCAGAAAACGCTGCCGATCGGTAGTAGAGGCTCCCGGCAACACGCGAGCCAACTATTATAGCGAATCACGCGGCCTGGAATTCACAATAAATTGTCAAAGTCAGCTAAAAATTCCTTTCTCTTCTTTTGACAAATGACGGGAGACGCTCAAATATTCCTTGTAGAAAGCCCATCTATCACCCATTGGCTGATTTGAACATGTCGCGTTCCGTCGTTACAGAGATCACCGCGGGAGGCCACGACTTGTCCACGCGTGCGCGTGCGATCACACTGAGAAGGCCGCGCGTTCGAAAAAAAAAGAAGAAAAGTTCTGAAGGTCACGAGGTGCGCGTGACGTATGTTCTTTGCCCTTGCCATTCCTCCCTGCTTAGCTTCCAGCGCTTTCGTCGGGTCGAGAGAAGAGTGCTATTGCAGCATGCGACAAATCTTAGTAACTGCACTCGCACTGGATAGACTAAAAGTTTTGTGGCATTGAATTCGTGAGGCTTAAGCTCTTCCAGCGAACTGATTCTATGGTTACTTGAAAAAAGTGTTTCAGGGCCCCTTTAGGGTATTTAGGATAGTGCATGCGAAGCTTCTTATATCGGTGAAACCGGGACATGCATAAGTGACAAATTGCGTGAGCATGCTGGAAACGCTTCGTACAGGGCTGGTCAAAAGTTTTTTGACCGCTATTCTATGTATTCCTATGGCAGCGTGGTATGGGAACTTTTGATCCCCCCCCCCCCTCCTGTACGTAACGGGAACGATGGTTTTTTTTAACGCAGCATGTCATCAGATGTGGATGCAAGGTACAGTTTAGCAACACAGCGGTGATTGGTAAAGATACAAATGGCCGCACAATAATAATTATAGAACCTGCAAGCGTAGCGCACAATCAGTTGTCTAGTGTGAGTATCCTCGATCACTTATGTTACATAAAAAACTCGTGTTCTTAAAGGGACACTAAAGGCAACTCCCTGCTTAGTCAACATCGATTGTTGAAATGGCGGTCCAAAAACCTCGTAGTGTTACTTTTTTGTCAAAGAAGGGCCTATTTTGAAATAAAATCACGTTTTAGTGGTCCGCGTTGGTTTAGCGCCCTTCAATTTACCCGCCTTTAGAAGCAGACCGACCGGACCGGCTCACGTAACTGTTGCCATTCACAGCATTGCCCGGCTTTACTGCGCTAGTAGCAAAAAACCGAAAGCAGCGGGAGCCACAGCAGCAACAACGGCCATTGATCAATTTCCCGCCATTGGCTTCGCGATTGCAGACGTTTTTGTTTCAACTGCGCCCCGCTAGATAGCACACCCTGTCCTGTGTAACCACGCGAAAATGGAATTTTTGAACCACCCACGCCATTCCCTATAGTAACGTCCCGGCGGTTCTTTTTTCCATGAATCAAACAGAAACGAACAAACACCATTTTATTGCGTCTCTTGATGCACGGTACGTTCTTTATTTAGTGCAGTTAGATTGATTACTAGTGATTATTTGTAGGCGGTCCATCTGATGTCATCGGGATCATTTTGAAAATGTCCTACTGCGGCGCTTGTGTTCGTGTGCATTTACCTTAATTTCTCAATAAGTAGGGCACTGCTGTTGATAATATTGTCGTTTTAGATGTTTTCACATATTGAGCCTACAGTCTGACGTAAATTGTTATTTGACTTTAGTTTGCCTTTAAAAGTGGCACATGATATAAGGATTAAAGGGGCACTGACAAAAGTTTTGCCATCGTGTTGTTTTTTTTTTTTTTTTGCTGCTGCTGCTGAAATATGTTGCTGGGTGCCTATTAATCATACCACGGCACATATTTGTTGCCGCGTGTGACAGAGAAATGATCATAGGCTCGTCAATACCAAAAATGTCAGTTCAGTTTGAGAGAGATTGAAAAACGACAAGCCACTGGGTTAGCCACTTTTGTGTAGTGCCTCCAAGGTCACGGGCCTGCCCCGCCACGGTCGTCTAGTGGCTAAGGTACTCGGCTGCTGACCCTCAGGTCACGGGATGAAATCCCGGCTGCGGTGGCTGCATTCCCGATGGAGGGTGAAATGCTGTAGGCCCGTGCGCTCAAATTTGGGTGCACGTTAAAGAACCCAGGTGGTCGAAATTTCTGGAGCCCTTCAATATGGCGTCTCTCATAACCATATGGTGGCTTTGGAATGTTAAACCCCACATATCAATCAAGGTCATGGGCCGGGATTTCTCCGGACGCTCTCCGACACTGTCAGAATTTTTCAATACTCTGATGACCTCGTCTGCTCCCTCACGCTTAGGTCTGCTGCTTGGCGTCGCGCCACTTGGTTCTTTATAGGCCCTGAATAACCTTACGTCAGCAACCTCCTATGGAGACCACCGCCGGTCCTTGTGTCAGTAGCTTCCCATCAGGAACCGCTGCTCTTCGCAGGCTGAATTGCACCCGTGGGCGAGTCGTATCGCCACGCGTTATGTAAGACGCGCCAGACTGGATGGCATCGATTGCATCATCGGGCTGGAATAGGACCCGTGGGTGGAGGGCGTTTGCCACGTGTTCCATTAGATGCCATTGACGGTGATGACGTCAGCCGGATTCAGTCGCTGGTTTTGACACTGGTTGCTTTTGCAGAAGCAGTGAAGTTCGGTTTGGACTCCAAGGCATAACACCACCCATCTGGCGTCTGAAACACTCCTCCACGTCAGAACACGAAACTGTCGTGCGCTACCGCACTGTACGCATCAAGAAGTCCACTCCAACGATAAACGGGACAGCAGTGTCGCCAAACAAAAAACTTTCAGCACATGCGCCATGGCCACGGACGGACGGACGGACAGATGGATGGACGGACGTACGGATGGATGGTTGGATGGATGGATGGATGGATGGATGGATGGATGGATGGATGGATGGATGGATGGATGGATGGATGGATGGATGGATGAATGGATGGATGGATGGATGGATGGATGGATGGATGGATGGATGAATGGATGGATGGATGGATGGATGGATGGATGGATGGATGGATGGATGGATGGATGGATGGATGGATGGATGGACGGACGGACGGACGGACGGACGTATGGACGGACGGACGGATGGATGGATAGATGGATGGATGGATGGATGGATGGATGGATGGATGGATGGATGGATGGATGGATGGACGGATGGATATGGTTGTACCCTTCAAATCGGGCGGTGGCTAGTGCCACCAAGCCTTGATACTTAATGAACCAAAAACTAATTTTTTTTCCTTTAAATAGTGAGGTTGAGTATTCGTACTTTGCAGTGAATGGTTTAATTTTCACTCGTGCCTTGACTTTAGACACCAATCAGATAACCTCCTTCTAGTTAATTCTACCCGCTTAAAGTCTATTTTGCCCTCCCTGTCCCTAAACCCCAGTGTTTTGAAAAACTCTGTGCCATAATCCTGAACTATAGGGTGAAGCCCTTTACAGAACATTATCCAGTGTTCGGTAGTTTCTTCTTCCTCTCCGCACGCACTGCATACCGTGTCTACCTCTCCGTATTTGGCCCGATGTGTCTTGATTCGCAATACTCCCGTCCTGGCCTCAAACAGTAGAGAACTACCCCGAGTATTATCATAGATCCTTTCCTCGGCAATTTCCTGCTTACAAGTTCGATAGATCTCTAGTGCGGACTTCTTAATCATGCCGATTCTCCACATATCGGTCTCAGCTTCCTTCACTTTCTTCTTAACCGATAATTCTTTTTGGTTTGGCCCCCTGCTGTTTTATAAGTATTTACCAGTCAATTTTCTGGTTCGCTTCCTACATTTTGTATCGACATTCTTCATTCTTTCGACTCACGAGCAGCAGCGCCGCGTAGCGGTCTGCTGGAGCAAACATGGCAAAAAAAAAAAAGTGGTGGCTATGACGTCATCACAACTTGCGTTGACTGCAGCGTGCTGTCGTGGGGAGACTCGGGGGTCACCATGGATCACATTTAAGGGGGAGGGGGCTGCTCGATCACACACGCAAAAATACCTTCCAAGCTATGTTCACTGTTATCATTTTGCAGATGTCCACGGCAATCGATCCCGCAGTCTTTGAGAAGGTGTGGTAGCTAGTATCTTTTTTTTTTCATTTTCGTCATTGTGCTCGCTTATCGGGTATCTTACAGTACATTTAACTGTAGGTATATACATGACAATGCTTTCCAAATAAACTTGCAGTTGGCAGTATGCGCTTACCCTTGTCCTCTTAATCTAGAAAGAGAGAGAGAGAGATGGAAAGAAAAAGGAAGGCCGCGAGGTTAACCAGATATTGGCATCTGGTTTGCTACCCAGCACTGGGGTGGGAAAATAGGGGCAAGAAAGAGGGGGTAGATAGAGAGAGAGAGAGAGAGAAGAAAAAACGCACGTGCACTCATGAGAAAACGAAAACACACACAGGAAGGGCGTTTTGGCTACAACCGTTCAGAAAGGCCGGTCTATCGCAAAAAGTGCGCTATAGCGCTTTCAGGGCCTTCTTCTGCGATGTTTCATCTTGTCGATATTGTAGAATTCTTTCCTCCGACAGAGGTCGATTATCTAATTTGCTGAGTTCCTTGCGAAGGCATAGTCGTTGTCTACTGTACTCTATAGGCAGTCACAAAGGATATGTACCAGTTTAAGTTACGTGCTCACATTTAAAGTGCGATTAACTTTCTGCTCATAACGAATTTTTTCTGGACTCCGAAGGACAAGCGAGCAGGCACTCGGTCCCGTTTTGTTTTTGCCTGTTGAGACATACCACGCGCACTCGCACAACAACTCGCAACCCTCGATGTTGCCAAATGGACGAATAGATCACGCTATGCCAACCTCCAGCATGGCGGCCGTCATGAACGCGCGCCTCCTACTCCACACATTAGCGCTTGAGGGGCGCGATAAGATCTAGTTGTACTTATACGGTAATTAATTAGTTGTAATTATACGGTACATCGAGGCGACAGCACGATGTTTTGCTTGGAGTGTCTACATAATTGCTATCGCAATAAAACGTAACATATCAAATAGGCTGGCGTGTTCAGTATTATCTACTTCCAGCATCGGCTTTTGTTCAACGTCACACGTGCGTTTCACGGCCTAACATTTCTATTGCGCTAGGGTTCACACACATTCCTCTTACCAGCACGCATATGCAGGCGAGTTGTATACAGTGCCAAGACTAATGTCATACCACAAGGACATCCCAGGGAGCCCTATAACGTATACGTCTAACACTTTGTAACGCATGCAGACTTGAAAGCAATCGACTATTCCGAGAGTGTTCATTCAACAAAACACATTTCAAGCGGATATAAAGTGCACGGAAAGTAGTGTGAAGTGCGCGTAATCCCCGATTATGTAACAAAATTTATCAGTGAGGCAACCACGACCGCACACGAGTCGCCCATTCAAATATCAGGAACTTGCCAGCATATATCGTCCTGTCCGGTTCACCGATGTACGGAAACTTGGCCGCGTTTTCCTCCGGGCTTTCCAGTGGTGTCGGATTGATGCCGCTGTGTGTCGCCTGATGCGCCAAGTACAAGAACAGTGGCTGCAAGAGGCATACGTCCACGGTCGATCACAACGGGATAGTATATTTCGGAAGTGCCAAAAGCTGGAAATGTTGATTTGATAATTTAGAAATACTTAAAGACCATATGTAATTTCACTATATTACAGGAATTATAAATAAAATGCAGACACTAGATTCGTGTTGTCCTTTCGTTTTGTATTGCGACGGTGTGATGCGTTAAACTGTAAGAACATATGTCAAAAGCCGCCGTTCTGTAAGTTACACAATCACGATACGTCATGAAAACAACCATAGCGTACTGTAGCAAGCCGTTTATGTTATTATAGCGTATTGTAACACATGACCAGTCAGTGCCATAATTTTATGGACCACAAGACACACACACACAAAACAAACGTCAGCTGTTTGAAGAGGCAGCCTTGCATTAAGATTTCCGACCTCGTACAAAATGCACTATCAACGTGCACTGCACAGCTCGGCCGAATTGGGTCGGTTTGTCGGGAAATTCAGTTTTTTTTCCTTTGCTACAATAATTTTTATAAGTTTGACGCCAAATCTATATCGACCAATAGTGGAAGTCGCTCTAGGCAGAGCAACTCTCACTTTGCAGTTTGTATAGGAAACAGCGTACAGATCACCCAAAGGACGAAACAACGAGTATCAGGCTTCCCGTTTTGTAGCGCATTATGCACCACCTTTTCACTCTACATATATTCACATTCACTTTATATATATATATATATATATATATATATATATATATATATATATATATATATATATATATATATATATATATATATATATATATATAAGGGAAACAAGTGTATACTTAAGGGCTCTCTTTTCGTGTTTACACAATAATAATGAGATAATAATGAGATCTAACAGACAATAATGCCAAGGAAGGTATAGGGGAAGTTATATATATATATATATATATATATATATATATATATATATATATATATATATATATATATATATATATATATATATATATATATATGTGTGTGTGTGTGTGTGTGTGTGTGTGTGTGTGTGTGTGTGTGTGTGTGTGTGTGTGTGTGTGTGTGTGTGTGTGTGTGCGCGCAAGAAGTACTCACTTTCGACTTATTCCTGTTCGCTATGATAGAAGTAGCCCGCTCCGTGAACACAGTGGTGGAATATTTCCCGTCCTCAGTCGTCAAGGGCTGAGTATTGTTCCAGAAGTCGAGGCCACTGCGCCCTTGCTGTGGAGAGACGATGATCGATATGCTATATGTACTACCACAATAATTATGAACTAACTGACCATTACCAACGGCAGTACAGGGGATGTTTATTCTAATAATTATGAAATAGGTGGGAGGAAAGTAAATTGGACAAAATCATAAACTTGCCACTGGCAGGGAGCGAACCTTCGACCTTCGAATCACGTGTGCGGTGCTCTGTGTTTCCAATAGATACCAGTATGTCAAAAGATAACTTGGTGCGAACTTAGTTTGCGCGGCAAAGATTGCGCTGAGCTTCCCTTAAAGTGATACCGTGAAGAAATTAAAAAGGAAATCAAATCTGTATTAGACCAGCATGGTTTACAAGCTTGGTGTTATATAGCTTCAGCGCCAGCAAACTTTTGCAGTGTTCCGATATCGTCGATATGCACCACTACTGGGCCTCTTTGCTGTTCGCGTGCACTTACGTAACTAAAGAAATAAAATCATTATCATCGTAGAACAAGTATGCCATTTTTGAGACTATATGACACACATTCATGGTCTTTCGCTATACTGTCTGATACATTCACGGTTGAGTATTACAAAACAATGGTTTCCACGAGAATGTGATCAAATGCATACCCATTCCAAGATGTGACTGTAGTAATCGTTAGGTCCAGTGTACAAGCCACAAAAGCTGTCAAAGCCTCGGTAAGTTGGAGTATAATTCAGGTTGAAGTACCCAAGGTGCCACTGTATAGAAACAAAAAAAGCATGTTTCTCTGTACATCGAGTTTACGGCCTCTTTTGATGCGGCTCGGCAAACACACTCGTGGGCCTCTTTACGACATCGCGTTACCTTTCCGAGGATGTGTGTTTCGTAGCCCAGATCCTTCAGATGCTCGGGCAGAATCTTGAATTTCAGGGACAACGCCGCTGGCACACCGGGCAATATGGGACCTTCTTGAAAACCTGGTCAAAGTTGAAGCGTGCTCAAGTTAAGCGAATAAATATGAGGTAATATAAAAGTAATCACCTTGCTTCGCGGACTCTGATGAAACACAAAATGCGGTTTCCTTCCCTTCATCAGGTCAGTATGGCATTTCTATGTTTTGCAAGTATTTCGGGCATGTCGTGTTCCTGCTCATTGTGAAGTGTGTGCTAATATTCGAGAATTCTGAGTAAATTATCGAATGGCATTCTGTTCAATTCGGTATTCGAATAGTATAGTACATGCTCAAAATGCCAAATATTTTTCAAATAGTCAGCGCCGACTTGACAACCGCAATACAACGAAATTTTGGAACATCCTAATGTAGTTTTGAAATTTTGTTTAATCATTAATTTACCGATTTGCATGCAGCTCAAGCTCTTACTAGACTACCGACGTTACGTTAATTGCCAGATGAAGGGTATTTTTCTTGAAACTCCACTCTTACTCCATTTTTACTATGCTGCAAGTGCATCGCATTTATCAGTTTCTATCTTCATCTAGTAATAAAGTTGGGTACTCCGGCGACATTCTGCTTCATGCATATATGTAGCCTATAAAGTAGACGGGGGGGGGGAATTACCGCCACCATACAGCTCGGTCGTAGAGTATCAGACGCGTTATTCGAAGGTCGCAGATTCACACCCTGCCGATGGCAAGTTATCTTTTCGTACACTTTTCTTTCTTGAAATTTACATTACAATTACTTTTAATAACATCCCTATACTTTCAGTCGATTTATTGTCTGTTAGTTGTCATTAATACATAGTGTGTCTAACAAAGAAAATAATAAGCTCTTAAATTTACTCTTTCATTCATTCATAGCGGGGGTCTAGTTCTGGCAGACTTGATATGCCTTGAGGTGGTATGCGAGGGAGTATTGGTCAGCTGCCATCTCGTAATAATATCACGTACTACGTGGCGCCAAACAGGCAACAAAGAGTGTTCCTCCACACTTGCCATAATGTCCAGCAACAGGTGGCGCTGGCCAACGCTTCCAAGTTTAAATACACATATATGTCCTATATAAAGTGGACGGGCGGATGACCGCCCCCGTAGCTCAGTTGCATATCATCGGAAGCGTTATTCGGAGGTCGCAGGTTCGCATCCTGCCGGTGGAAAGTTATCTGTTGGTCCACTTTTCTTTCTTCACAATTACTTTTCTAATAGCATCCCATTTACTTTTCGTGACATTATTGTCTGTTAGTTTGTCTCACTAATACTGTGTGTAACAAACAAAATGAGCCCATAAACCTATATTTTCCTTGATTCAAAACAGAGTGTTGTGTTTGCGTAATTTGCTTATTACATGCTTCAAGTGCCGAGGCCCATGTTGTGATGACAGGTTTATCATCTTCAACTGTGTTAGTGGTGCTCGCTTGAAAATTGTTCGGTAGTTATGTCTCCATTTCATTTAAAAGCAGGCACCCAAGTATCACCTTGATCACCTTGATTTAAGACATGAAAACCTTGACAAAGATCACGTTGTCCCATCCTGCCCAACGTACGTGTATTCCTTCACAACCCGAGACATATATAGCAGTATAAGGCATTATATGTAAACTTCGTGATTACATAATCTTTTGCTGCGCTTTCTGTTAATCTTGCTTGGACTTTACGTGACTGTGTGGTTAAGGCTGACTTAAAGCGCAACGTGAGAAGTTAAAGCCAACATCCTCTTCTCGAATTGCGTGTTTAGCTGCACTGCGCATGGCTGAAAAGTAGAGTGGGGCGTATATTATGTGTGCCGCCGTTACCGCGTTACAATACCATCTTGCTGAAAAGCTTCGGGTAGAACGCTTGAAGTGGGTGGCGATGTTGCGTTACAAAGCGCACTCACTTGTATTCACAACTAAATCAAACGCAAAGGCCCCTAATCCATGTTATGAAGTTTGTATGTAACGCTGTCCATATTAAAGCCTGCATTTCAAATGCTAATCAAGCGTTCAGGTCACTTGTACTAATTTATTTTTCCGCAAATGAGAGACTAATTTACGGATGGGTTTGAGTGATGCCAAATGGGGCTCCTGATTTTGTGTTTTGTATCTTTGACAACTAAACGTATGATTTGCCCAACTGCCTTGATGATTGTAACGTTATTCTTTACGCTGACAATACGACTATTTCCATGTCACATAAATCATTAACTACTTTGATCAATAAGCTGAACAACGAACTGACCAATGTTGTCAAATGATGTCGTATGAACAACTCAATTTTAAACCTTGTTTAAAACTCAGTTCATGATTTTTGAAACCTCTCGAAAAATGCTTCCTATTATACCACAGGTGTCCATTGACCATCACTTCATTCCTGCATCTGATTATGTGTGTTTTCTGGACATAAAGTTAGACCCTTACTTGAAGTTCGATAATCATATACTTACAAAAAAAACATCATTTGGTGTAATACCACTCATTAAATCTTGTTCATTTTTTTCACTTAGAGCCTTATTGTCTTTATACTTTGCCTTTATAGATAGTCACATCGCCTATGACATTACTTCATGGGTTAATACCTATAACACTCATCTTTCTTCCGTACAGCACATTCAGAATGAGTCCATTCGAATTATTACCAGCAGTTCATTTTATTCCAACGCTGCCCCACTCCTTCAGGCTAACCGCATTCTTACTGCGTCTGGCTTGTTTCGTTTTCACTTAATCCTAATGTTATTTAAACAGCTGAACAAACAGCTTGTATTTGATTTAATCAATGCTAGATTATTCACTCACACGAACAGTACTAGGTTCACCCATAATCACAACTTTCTTTTACCTAAATGTAACACCAACAATGCCAAATGACTTCCTCCTTCACGGTGATTAAATTTCGTAATTATTTACCCTACTCACTAAAATTGTTGTCATCGTTATATGCATTCGAACATAAACTTAAAATTTTCATCTTGTATAACTAGGCTAACAGCAATAATAATTTATGATGTAATAGTGTAAGTAATTAGAATTTCAGGCTGTGTTTTCTTCTATATGGTTTGCTTAATCCACTTGTATAACTGTTTATTATGTACTTGTTCGACTTTTATCGTGTTTTTTTTTTGTTCTTTCACTTATTTGTTGTAGTTTTTTGGTACTTTCATTGTTGACTTCCACTCACTTTGTGTAATAATACATGCTGTTATAATTAAACCCTTTATTGTTCAAGTTAACTGAGGGTCCCACTGCAGTCGCCCGACTTTGGGACCCTCGTCTGCATGCTTTTAACTGTGAGGCTTTGTATTTTGAATGAATAAGAACTGAAAATGAATGGTGTTACGGTAGACGCGTACGCATAAAAGTGTTTGGGTTGGTGAATACGATATTTCATGGCCTTATAAATTCACATCCAGGTGTACAAAAACAACAAAACATATCGGCTGAACAGTCCAAGATGTCGGCACCGAGATGCCTTACGCGAAATAGTCTATTCGCATCGGTAGTCAGAAAGTTACCGGTGAGTGTTAGATCAGCCCTTATAAACATTATTGAAGTTGATCATTGATATACCTTTGAAGACATTTCTATAACGCAACGTCTCGCTTCGTACTGGCTCATTACAGTAGCAATGGTTAAGTGCACATGGTGACATCATGACCCCTGTATATGCTACACAATACGATCGATCTCAAGATAAATCGCTATTGATAGATTCCTCGTGACTTGATGGACGCACAACGTGGCTCCAACATGCGGCTTAGATGATGCCAGGGCAATATAACCACGCGGGCGATTAACCGGCTTCAGCGTAATAACGACGCCGTTGGAACGTGGCTGGGCCTCAGCGAATGAAAAACTACGAGCAGGCGATTTCCCTGTATAACTAACGTGACATCACGATATTCGCCTCTCACCATGTTGATGGCTCAACGAAGCTGTGTCAGAGGTGTCAGTGCAAGTCATCTTCTCTCACTAGACAGATTTAGTTGAGCGTCGGCCGCAGCTCTGCGTACACAGCCTGCCAAGAGTTTCCAGTGGCAGGCTGCGTACGCTAAATCTATCTATATCAAATCCATGCGGTCATATAGTTTCCTAAAGTTAACTATAAAGAGGGGACTCTGGCGCTGCGATCGTTGACCATGGGAATTATGGGTATCACATAGATTTACGTAGTCTTCGTGCTTGCGGGCGCCCGGCCGCGGTGGTCTATAGTGGCTAAGGTTCAATAGAGGCGAAATTGCTATAGACCTGTGTGCTCAGATTAGGGTGTACGTTAAAGAACGTCGGGTGGTTGAAATTTCCAGGGCCCTCCACTGCGGCGTCTCTCATAATCATATGGTAGGTTTGGGACGATAAACCCCACGTATCTATCTTGCGGGCGGCGAATCTCACCTGTGGCTTCGTTTATTGGTGTGTTTTGGTTTTGTTTCGAATGAAAGAACAAACCGTTTTGAACTTTGAGAGCCGATCTGAAATGGAGATCCTAAACGGTGAAGGTGGTGAAGCGCAACTGCCGAACGTTTGCCGATTGCTGTTTGGTGACAAGGCAGCTTCAAGTGACGCGATGCCAAACGGAACGTAAAGTACGAAGACTAGGAAGATCCGTGTACTGCCCATCATTCTCACGATCGCTAAGCACCATGCGATGCAGCTCGCGTACACACTCGCGCCAGAGTTCCCTCTAGTGGAAACTAACGCGTGTACGGTGCGCCGAGCAGACCTGTGTGTATGGCGTAGAAGCCGCTCATCAGGGCGGCCCTGGAAGGAGTGCAGAGGGGCTGCACGTAGTAGTTGTTCAGCGCCATTCCCGTGCTGGCCAGGGCGTCGATGTTGGGCGTCGGGATCTGTGCAGAGCCGTGCATGCTCACGTCGGCCCATCCCTGTAGCGCACGCACGAGACAAGATGTTAGGCTAAAGGAACAGTAAAGTAAAACAATGTCGTATCGGTCCAGACTGATAAATTGTACCTTCAGAACTCTCGTGACGTCAACGTCATCGTCGTAGGTTTGTAGAAAACATGGAGGAAGAGAAAAGAAAGGAGTGGACATTACGTCACACAAGCGAAGCCCACCGTGTCGGCCCGACACGTGATCAAAACGTCAGAGCATGCGGAACATTTTAGTAGTCTTCGTGGCTATTCGTTTCGGCGAGTCTCGTTGCTTGCGTGATCCTGCCGAAAAGGTCACGAGTTGCACCGACACTATAGCGGCTTGAAAACGACTTCTAGCTTGCCACGGCTGGTTGCGTGACTTCATGCTCCCTCCTTTGTTTTTCCTTCCTCTAGAAGAAAATCGGGGTCATTTTCATTTTTAAATATGACGCCGAAATCTTTGAACGTTACGTTACGGGTTTCAAATTGTATCTTTTTAGTATTTTGACGACACTGGCTCAACAAAATTACCCCCAGCTTATCTAACTCGTCTGGTGGACCCTCCTGCCTTTCCTTGTGTTTCCACCTCCTCCTCCTTCTCCTGAAACTTGATTTGTATAGTGTCTGCGGCACCCCCAGATAACAGAGCGTGTCAAAGCTCTAGCGATTAGGAAGCACGTAGGACGTATATTAGATGCCGGTCTAATCCATGAAGTCGGGACGCTCTGTGCAAGAGTTTTCCTTTTGCTTTTTCCTCGCTTGCCAGGTGTCTTCCCGCAGCAAGCGTGGTCACTTTATAATCGAGAAATGGTAACTTACTAATGTGGAAAAAAAGGCGTTTTTCTAGTGTCCCTTTAAGGTGGTCAACGTTAGCTATATTGACAGACGTTCCTGAAAGGCATCGGCAATACGAGCACACAGACGTGTGCCTCATTCTCGCATCTGTAAGCGGCTTGACGAGCAAACGGAGCAAATAACTGAGTAGAAACATAAAGAAGTAAACACAACATTAGCCCACAGTGGCGGTCTCTTAGTTATGGTGCCTGGTGCCAGACTGTGGACTCGAAGGTCGCGGGATCGACTCCCGGGCGAGGCGTTTGCATTTCGATGGAAGCGAGATCATGGAGAAGGCTAGTGTACTTAGATTTAGGTGCACGTTGAAGAATTCCAGGTGTTGAATTGCAGGCCTCTCTCATAATCATATCTCGCCCAAAGCTCGCCACCGCCGTCTATGATCATGTGAGATTATTTTGCTTTTGCTGTCGTGTTGCCACAGTAAATCTAGGACAAGCGGCAGAGCAGCTGCAAAGCTGCCTCTGAGCACAGCGCGTCGGGAAGGAGCCTCCTGCTTGGCTGGGCGAAGCCCGTGCGCCCAGATGTCGCTACAAGTTCCTCAGTACGTCGACGACAGCGCCTACCGCTGTTTACAAACTTGGAATAGGTCTGTACGTGTACACAACTTACAAGTACGTCACACCGCGGAAGTCTGGAATACGGTCCCGGCATATACGCCGGCACAAGCACCGCATTCACCGAGCACATTGCAGCAGACGACACTCAGCCAAGCCGTGCGGCTCTCGCATTTCCCGTGAACGCTGTCAATCGCAAATAGCGATTTGAGTAATATTTGACTACCGCGCGTGATGTGATGAGGTGAAAAAGAACCAGAAACGGGGACGTGTACTGTTTCCAAAGGTGATCATAAACCCGGGTGACCGCATGAAAGAGCTGTCCGAGAAGCGGACCTCATGGCGCATATGTGCGCATAAAAGGAAGGACTTCAAGACTGAACGACGTACGTGTGTGCGGGCGTCACCTCATTACAGGCAAGTTATGTTTCCAAATATCGTGCGAAGTTGTTTGAACCATAGCGCATGGCAGCAGACGAAACCGAGCCATGGACTCGGGACACTGCGAACACGAAGGATCCGGATTCCCCAGTGAACACTGCTTCGCTTGCTGGCTACATATTGTCCTGAATTATTCTCTTTCTTCATAGGCGCGAGACGAACGATCAAAACACGCGCACTACGCCAAACGATCCACCGCACGTATGTAATACATGACGCGGCCACTGACACGTATGTGATCCGTGTGCTCGCGGTATATACAACGGCGGACGGAAGACAGGAACTGACGTCACTTACAATGCTTGTATACACTTCCCGGCTTGCGTTCTATAGACGATTCTAGCTTCAATAGTATTTATTGGCACACTATAACGCGGTGTTAATTGAGCAGCATACCAGGTCGTCGGCTAAGATGAACACGATGTTAGGTGGTTCAGATTTCTTGTCCGCTGTGACAGTCCAAGTAACACAACCGAGGACGAGTAGCAGAAGTGACATCTCGGATACACGATAGCCCTGCATACGAGAGAAGACATAAGGCCTGAACATCCAGGGCACTTTTGTTTTTGTTGTTGTTTGTTGAGTAGTTGCACGCATGCAATTTATAGGAAGATAGGCCATATTAAAGCTATCTATACATATACACAGGTGAAATGTTTCATCTGCCTGATTCCCTACAAACACGTATGCACATTGCACGAACGCACTTACTCTACAAAAAACAGTTTATGCTCCTCTTAAACTCTCTCTCTCTCTCTCTCTCTCTCTATATATATATATATATATATATATATATATATATATATATATATATATATATATCAGGGACACAAGAGCTGCGGCAAAATATACCTTAACAGTGTTAGTTTTATTGGCAACTTACCGGACGCAATTCGTGGGGTCACCTCGTCGTATAGCAGAGGTCATGCATGAGTTTCACAAAACCAACAGCCTCGTGCTAAACTTAAGCTACGGCATTTTCAAGTCGGCATTGTCCAGAAATACACAACAGCATGGCTCTGCATATAGTATAAACAATCACAGGAAGCTGCACACACACGCACGCACGCACAAACACCCACACACACAAACACACACACACAAAGAATATGAGTGTGAGAACGGCACGAATGCATGTCCTGTACTCTCGCTCTTTTTGTGTGCATGTGTGTGCGACGGCTGCTCGCCATTAAGCATGACCTTGTACTTTCCTATATCACGGCCGCTGAGCTGCAGAAGCAAAAAAAAAAAAAAACACATGGTTGATCCCTCCGTCATAGGAATCGTTCAAATATGAAGTAAAATATGTCCTTAGAGAAGTAGTTCAATGTTTACAGCACATCTGAAGTGAGAGAGCTCGCACAATGTCTACTGGTGCTTGACAGCTATAGCACTGCTTAACGTGGATGCATCCGCTTTGCCGCTTAGTCATACATATCTATCCCGACGACTAACATCCATAATTAATGATTTAACAAGCCCTGAAAACCTTCTGTAAACACGCGGTAAATAGCACTTGAGAGATCATGTCTCCCTGCCTTACACCTTCTTTATTCGGGATTCTGTCACTTTCTTTATGAGACAACTATGGTGGCTGTGGATCCACTGGATAATTTTTTTCCAATATGTTTATGTATAGTTCGTTGATGCCGGTATTCCGTAGGGCCTGCATTACTGCCGGTGGCTCGACTCAGTGCAAACGCCTTCTCGTAATCTACGAAAGCTATAGGTGTAGGGGTTGGTCGTATTCCACGCATTTCTCTACTACCTGATTGACTTTATGAATATGGTGTATTGTGGAGTTGCCTGACCGAAATCCTGATTGGTTGTTTGATTGATTGAACTCTAATGTTGCCCTAATTCTATAGTTATCATTTTTGTAAGTAGTTTGTAAGGAACGGACAGTAAGCCGATTGGCCTGTAGTTTTTCAAGTCCTTGACGTTTCTTTGAGTGGAGATTAAAATGATCTTGGCGTTCTTCCAAGATTCTGGTACCCTTACCGTCAAAAACACTTCGTATATAAGGTGGCCAATTTTTCTAACACAATTTCTCCTCCATTTTTTAGGAGGTCCGTTGTTATCTTTTTCTCAACAGCAGCTTTGCCTCTTTGCATTCCTTCCAGGGCTTTCCTTACTCCCCCTGTCGTTACTGATATGATGTCGGATTCTTCTGGACTATTATTGTTTCTCGCGATATCATCCTGGTTGTTTTGGCTTCTTTACAGCTTCCGGTGAACTCCTCCGCCACCTCTATTATCATATCCATATTGGTTATGACACTGCCTTCTTTGTTCCTTTAATGCATACATCCTATTTTTTACTATGCGCAAGTTTGCCTTTGCAGTTTTTAGCCTTCTGCCATTTTTACAGCCTGCTTAATTATCTCAATGTTATACATTCTGATGTCAGCTAATTTACGTCTATTGGTTAGCATTGAAAGCTCTATTAGCTCTATTTAGTCGGTTGCATTTGACGCTTTCGTAGTTTGTCGTCCCTAATGATATTTTTCGTCTCCTGAGACAGTTTGCCAGTGTCCTGTCTATTGACTGTACCTCCGACTTCCATTTAACACACTTTGATGTTACAAGTGAGATTATCATTCATTGTGTCAACGTTACCGTCAGTTACCTCGTTTAGAACCTCGAATCTATACTGAAGCGAAACTCTGAATTCGTGTACTTTCCCTCTCAGCTCTAGCTCATTAATTGGCTTTTTGCATATCCGTTTATGCCTTTGCTTCTTTTAAATCTAGGTGAATACGAGCTCTTACCATTCTATGGTCGCTGCATCGGAGCTTGCGAGCTGCTTCTACACCCTGTACAATGCCTTGGGTATGCACGCAGAATGAAGTTTATCTATAGGTTCGCCATTAAGGCTTCGCCACGTCCACTCATGGTTAGCCCGTTTTCTGAAAAAGGTCTTTAAGGTCCGTAAATTACTACGTTCTGCGAACTCTACCAATAACTCCCCTCTGGCATTTCTAGAACCGATGCCATATTCCCCCACGGCACGGTCTCCGGTCTGTTTTTTGCCTACTTAGGCATTGAAGTCGCCCATCAGAATAGTATGCTATGTCTTTACATTATTAATGGCGGACTCTACGTCTTGATGGAAGCCTTCAACCAAATGATCACCGTGGCTCAATGTAGGCGCGTAGGCCTGTATCACCTTCATCTTGTACCTTTTGTTAAACTTAATCATGATACTTGCCACTCTCTCTCTTTAAAAATCAACTAATCTACAGTAGCATAGGACGTGTCCGTTCTGCAGCACTGTATAAGCCTGCACTTGTCCTCCTAACTTCGTTCAGCCCTATTATATCTAATTTCACAGCCTCTAATGCCTCGAATATAGCACAGCTACAGACTAGCCTCACTAGATAGCGTTATAGCGTTGAACGTATACAGTCAAGTTCAGATTCCAATGGCGGCCTGTCCAGGACCCAGAGATTCTTAACACCCTCCGCTGCGCCACAGGTCTGACCACTAGCCTAGGACGGCTGCTTCGCAGCCGCTGGGTATTGAGGGCCAAGGGTTAATTGCTGTAGTAATGGGAGGTAGTGGCCAATTCTTCTTTGGTGAGGAAGTGTATTTCCAGTAGGTAATCGCAGTCAAGCTGCACCCCATACCTCTTTTTTTTCCCTTAATGATTCATTTATCATGCATATTAAGCAAATATACGATCTGGGAATGATGCGATATCTGTATTTGAACCAAATTTTGTCAATGCATGCTAGGATGCTGCGCTACATCTATATAAGTATAGGGGGTTCTTTTGCGCTTTCTTAGCACTGTAAAATGCCACCTGACAGCCTATCAGCTCTCAACTTCACATGAATCGTAGCTTGCCTGGCCTTTTCTTGACTGCTTGAAAGTCCATAATTTCATTTAAAAAAAGGGGAAAGTGGCGCGGTTTCGAACTTCTGGTGTTGCAAGCTTAGGCCCGCTTAGTGCACTAAATGTCCCTCCTTCTCGCGCATTTATTCTCTCCTAACTTTTTCCTATCTCGCTAAATTTTGACATTGTTGGCTTTAAAGTGTCCGAAATGCCAGAATGTTCGACTGGTCACACTCCTACTTCAACGTTTCTTGTCAACTGACGAAATGCGCGCTCCCTTTTTGCGAACAAATCGGATATTTTTATGTGACTGTTACGTTGAGTGTGCATCGCGGGCGGTTGGAGTGAATGAAAGTATACGCGAAAACTACTAAGAAATAGACTGGCGCTGCCTTTAAGGCTTTATCTTATTTTGTTAGCGTTTGGAATAGTAATTACAACTCTGGAAAATAAATATAGTAGTGGTCCTCAGTCGGGAGTCAGATATACGTATACTAGTAAATGCATATACGGCTAGCCTAATAACGTAGAATAGTGGATGAAAAGGTAAGGCGCGAATTACTTCTAATTCTAGAGATCGACGAAAAGCAAGAAACTTTGTACAAAAGTAATAAAAAGTTTGGATCATTCACCACATAGCGTCAGCTTGAATTGATAGGCCCCGACGACTTTCGGCACCGCACACATAATACACAGGATATTTTACAGAAGACTTTAAAAATAGATTTGCCTCTTACTCCACATGAAATTGGTTTTTTATCTTGCCTTGTGAAAGTTCTGTTCAACATTTGGGCGTTATTTTTGCTACTGGGTCTTCATTCGGTATGACGTAACATGTTATCATACAAACACTGTGATGTTGAAGTTCCATCTGTTCATGAGTGTTTCGTGGAAGCTGTTACCAAAGTGCTAGATGTGTATAAGACTACCGACTGCGTCGAAGATGTGATTTTCTTGTTTGGGGCATCAATGCGCATGAAACGGGTGTGATGTGTGATTGTTAGACTAGGCTTGACCTGTAGTCGAGAAGGCGACAAAGAAAGAAAAATGACCATGACATAGTGAATAGCGTGCCCATCGTCTGTGGTCCTGGGCTCAGTGGTCATATGTTCGAATCCCATTTGCAGAACTTTTTTTGTCTTCTGATCATGCGCATTTTTACGTCATTTCCGTGACGGAAAAAACACGTCACTGAAATCTTGGTGCACCCGGCATAAAACACTTACGTGTTTTAAAAAAATGCGACCTGTTGCGTAGGCCCCGAAATGACATCTTGGGCCTAGTTCTTTGCGCGTTCGCTGTGGCGCCACTGCTCGGGGACACGTGGTGACTGAAAAGCCCTTCCGCTTTTGCGTAGATATGCGTTATAGTGGCTCTAAATAATGAGGCCACTTTTTTTACGTTTTTTTTAGTTTTCCTTTATATAAGCCATCATTAGAAGCACCAATTAAGCCACAGACGTTAAATTGTTGCCACGGATTTGGATTTTTTTTTTTTTTGTAGACGGTGCCTCAGCCCTCAGTACGCTCCTTGGCGCTTACCCGTGTGGCTCTATGGCGCGATGAGTGAGCAGGTAACCAAAGTCAATCAAGAGGTTCTGCCTGAAACATTCAATTGTTGTGTCTACTTACTACTCGCGAACACACGTGTCCGCTATTGGGAAGCTGCAGGATAGACGAC